GGAGAACGATCTCTGTATATTTTTTTGCTATACGTTAGGAATGGTAGGAATCTCAAGCAACACCCAATGAAAATAGCATTAGTGAGGGTTTTACTTGAGCTTAGTATTTATAGTTCTATTGAAAGTATACGTTTATCATAGATCGTATGCTGCCATTGCCTGAAGTAACTTGTGTTGTCACTATAACTGCTTTAAAGATTGCAGCACTGACTGCTAAACCAAATATGCCTCATATTCTTTTTATTATTGCTTTTGTTATGGCAGGTCCAGATTTGGAGTTCAGCATGCATGATGGGACAATCAGAGATCTTGCTTTTATGGAAGGACCAGAAAGTGGTGGTGCTATCTTAATAAGTGCTGGAGCAGGGGACTGTAATATATATACAACAGACTGTCAGAGGGGGCAAGGTCTGCATGCTTTAAGTGGTCACACAGGTAAGCTGTTACTTCCATATTGCATTTCAAAAGTCTGTATTAGATTCATGTAGCAATTGTTTTTGAAATGTCATCTTTGAGTTTTCCTTTGAGCAAGAATTCAATTATCCCTAGACTGCTCTGGTGATAGTGGGGAAGGGTAGTTGTTTTTGTGTTTCAGATATTTTTGTTTGACAGTTCTTTTTGTTGGTTTCTTTGTGTCTGATTGGTTTGTTGGGTTTTGGGTTTTTTTTTTGTTTTTTTTTTCTTTAAATATCCTGTTAACTTGTTGGCAGAAGTGCATACTTTGTTGCAGAAAAGGTGCAGTGCTCAGTATTCCTTTATACTATTATTTCAGAACCTGCAGCTATTCTTCAGGATCATTTAATCTCTGAATGCAAAAATATCATCGGAAATGTAACATTTCATTGTTTGATTAATTATGCTGAATCCTTTTTTTCCACAGGTCATATTTTAGCACTTTATACATGGAGTGGCTGGATGATAGCATCTGGATCCCAAGACAAGACTGTAAGATTCTGGGATCTGAGAGTACCAAGTTGTGTTCGTGTTGTGGGAACAACGTTTCATGGAACAGGCAAGACTGGCTTCCACACCTTTGCTCATTCTTGCATTAAAACAGAGATCTTAATAGAAAGCATGAGGGTGTAATTTGTTTCTTTCCTTAAAAATAAACAAACACTTGAAACATTGGTGGCTACTTTGCCTTGTGAAATTCAAACATGTCTCTGAAGTACTTCGGAATAACACAAGACACATGAGCTGTTTCGGGGGAAAAAAAAAGTAAGCTAGCATTCTGTACTTCTGCGTAGAACCATCAAGTATCTTGAGTGGAACACACCCACAAGATCAAGCTCAAATCCTGGCTCCAGTGGGACCACCCAAAACTCAGACCCTATGATTGAGAGCGTTGTCCCAGCCGCTCTTAAACTCCAGCAACTTGGGGCTGTGACTACTGCACTGGGCAGCCTGTTTGATGCCCACCACCTGCTGGTGCCAGAACTCTTCTTTGATCCCCACCTACCCTCCTTTGATGCAACTCCACATTGTTCCCTTCATTTCTGTTGCTGTCACAGAGGGCAGAGAATAGCACTGCCCCTCTACTCCCTGTGAGAGCTGCAGCTGCTGGGAGGCCTCCCCTCAGCCTTTGCTCTGGGTGACAAACCCTAGACCTATCTCAGCTGCTCTCATATGTCTTGTCCTCCAGACCTGGATTCCCCACATTTGTAGCCCTCCTTTGGATGCTCTCTAATAGTTGTGTGTCTGTATGTCATGGTGTCAAATCCTGCACACAGGTGGCCACCAGTAATGGGTGATGTAATGGGAATGTGTTTGTAGTAATGATAGAAACCGTACCCAGGAGAAGCTCCTTTGCAACTGCAAAAGAGGGAGAGAAACCAGGAGTTTTCCAAAGTTGCAAACCCAGTAATGCCTGGACAGACGCACCAATTCTGTCAGTGATCACTATCATGATCCTGGCTGGCTACAAGTGATAACATTCCCATTTGGTCATTTGCTTAAATACAATGGCTTGTATTTTTCTCCTGTAGGAAGTGCTGTAGCCTCAGTAGCTGTTGATCCTAGCGGTCGTCTCCTGGCTACAGGACAAGAGGACTCCAGCTGCATGTTGTATGATATTCGAGGAGGGCGAATGGTCCAAAGCTATCATCCTCATGCAAGTGATGTTCGTTCTGTGCGCTTCTCTCCAGGGGCTCACTACTTGCTCACAGGATCTTATGATATGAAAATAAAGGTGACAGACTTGCAAGGTAACATACAAAAGATGCTAGGTTAATTTTCAGTTTGTTTTTGTTACAGAGGTTGAATCAAAGATAATGAGATAATGTTTTGGTTTGAAAGAAAAGAATAGAATTTCATGTGTTTGAAATGTCATCATGTTGGTGAGGAGTAAGGAGCTGATAACGGTAAAAACTATTGAATCCTATTGCTTGAAGAGTTGGCCTTTGCTTTTGCACAGCATTTAAAGAATTTGCTCTTTAAAAAGAAAAACATAAGTATTGTCATAATTACTGTGAAGAGTTTAGATGTACTTTACACCTTTTCCTAGCACCTTTCCCCAGACTGTTCAGTTGCATGTGGGGTGTGTGTTTGTGTTTCTCTGTCTGTGTTGAAAGGTCCAGTATGCTTCATAAGGTGAAATGCACCTGTAAGTTTTATTAAATCATAAAGAGCTAGAATATAAAGTGATGAGATAACTGATGATGTCTGTTCCTCTACTGCAGGAGACCTCACAAAGCAGCTTCCTCTTATGGTGGTAGGAGAGCACAGGGACAAAGTTATTCAATGCAGATGGCATACACAAGATCTTTCCTTCTTGTCATCGTCAGCAGACAGAACTGTAACCCTTTGGACCTACAACGGCTAGAGTGCAACTAAAGGCAACCTATGCAGCTAAAGCACAGAGACCTGAGACTACAGAACTGTAAAAACCAAGTAATAAGATTGAGGCATTCAGAGAGCAGCAGTTGAGTAGGAGAGTATGTTGAAAAGAGACACTTGTCACAGATTTTTCTGGTTTCTAGGAGGTCTTGGTGTTTTTAGTATATTCTTTTGCAGTGCTTTCAGTCTTCCATGTGAACTCATGCTGCTGTGACCTATTGTAGTCTTGTTGCCAAAGTTTGAGAAGAACTTTCATTGTCAGTGTGCACTCTAAGTAACATGAATGATGTGTTTACAGTTTGGTATTAATTGCATTCCTTGGTTTTTGCCTCAATGAAAATTTTTATAGAGGAACTTCAGTTGATCAACACTTCCAGTCAGTATCAAAGTAGTTCCATGTACACATAAGATATTCCACTGTTTTTTCAGATTTATTATATTCATCACTTCTTATCAAAAGGTCAGACTTTTTAACATCAACTTTTTTAGTAATGAACTCTGAACTTCAAAGGTGATTAGGTGGTAACCACATCTTAATTATGGTCTTTCGTCTTCATCTAGAGGGGGAAATGTTGCTCTCATTACTACATGACGTTGTTTTCAACAAGCTGACATGTTGGAGGGGGGGAAACAGTAACATAGTGAATTTGTTTTTGTAGAAACATAAAATATTTTGCTTTCTGAATGCAACAGAATACCTCTGTGTATAATGTACTGTAGAAGAGAGTGGATTGGCAGCAGTTGTCACAGTGAACTTAATGGCTATCAGTTCTCAAAGTAAAAGGGATACCATTAACACTATAATAGAAACCAGCATGGCTTAAAATGCTATGTCTGCATGATAATTTAAGAATTAAGTAATTTAAATTCCCAGTTCAGAAGCTTATCTGAATTTTATTTCTTGCACTGTTTATGTATGGGAAATTAGTTTTTTTATTTCTGCAGAACTTTAGATTCGAATGTTTATGTATTGTTATATTTTTTCATATTGTACAGTTCCTTTTACTTTTTAAATTTGAACCTTAAGCATTAGGTTATTTATTTGAACTGCAGCTAAGTTTTGGATTCTCTTGATTACTAAATTAAACGTGCACTGTAGCAAAGCATTTTTAACTATCGTATAAAAGTGGAAAGGTAAACATAGAAGTGTATCTGTGCTATAATCTCAATAAAGACCTCCAACACCTGCAGCTACCTTATCTGCTTGAGCTTCTTATGTAATGCCTCAGTGCTACTCAAACTATTGGGCAAGAGCTGGTGCACGCTTAGAATTTGGTCTTTGTACTGTTTCAGAGAACCTGACTGTAGTGGGGTAAGCAGTAACAGACTAGAGCTGTGAATTTGACACAGAAGGAGGAGCTGATGCTGCTTTGGAGGAGTGCTCGCAGCTACCAGCTTCTTCACTCCTAAGCTAGCTGTATGAGATACAGCTTGTGCTGTTAGAGACTGCCCAATTACACATCACTTCGTGTCCTGGATGTCCTGAGAGTCTGCGTTGTCCGTGTGCCTCGTGCTCGTATTTACTGCAAAGCGCCCGGGCTGTGTGAGTTGGGAGCAGAAGGGGGATCTTATATCTTATTTACGAAAGACTGAACCAGTAGGCTGAGCGTGGGGAAGGGAGACGGTAAGCTGGAGTAACAGCAGGGTAAGAATTGCTGCGTCATCTCTCAGCGGTGTACGGTTCCGCGCACTCGCTGTTCGGCTTCCGCACGTGCTGGGCAGAGCTGCCGGCTGCCTGCCGCCTTGCTGCGGCTCCTCTTCGGTTTCGCCCTGCGGCTGGTTTTCCCGCCTTCCGCCGCACTCCTGCCGCCGTGCGGTGCGCGCGTGCAGCCGCCCCTGAGGTGACCGACGGCGCGCGGCCCCCCCCCCGCCTCGCCCGCTCTCTGCGCCCTGAGGGGCCGGGCCGCGCCTGCGCGCCTCGGAGCGGGGCTGCGCGGTGGGCAAAGGCGGTGTAAGGGGCGGGGAGAAGGCGCGGGCCCTCACTGCCGGCCCGGGGCTGGTGGTGCAACGAGTGCGGGGCCGAAGGAGCGCGGCGAGGCGGTCTGCGGCGCTCAGGTACGAGGGGCCGCGTGCGGTCCGGTGCGGGCGCGAGGCCGAGCTGTGGCCGTTGGGGCGGTGGCTGCGGCGGCGCCGCTGACGGAAACCGCGGCGGGTGGGCCGGGCCGGGCCGGCTGCGAGGCTCCGAGGCTCCGACGAGACAGCGGGAGCGGCGATAGCGACGAGAACGTTTGCTCCGGGTTGTACTGCCATTTCAGCCCTCGCACGGAAAGCGGTCCTCCCTCCCCTGCCGCGTAGCCCCGCGCCGTGGGCGCAGCGATGCTGGTGCTGGTGCTGTGCGCCGCCGTGCTGGCGGGAGGCCGGGCCCAGGACGACGACTGGATCGACCCCACCGATATGCTTAACTACGACGCGGCGTCGGGAACGATGAGAAGGCCTTACAAGGTACGAGAAGCGCTCGAATCAGTCTGTCTGTCCTGAGCCGCGTGCTGCTGAGGGGGTGCCCTTAAGTCGCGCGTTTATGTAATACTGGAGTTGTGCTCTTTTTATCATTCTGTAAAGATACATTCTGGTCTTTAAACGGAAAGAAATTGTACATCTGTAACTCTGCTCTGGGCAGTGCTGCACCGAGTGGCTCTCGATGGGCACCAGAGCACGGCGTTATGTATCTGAAAATGAAGCACTGGTTAATGGGTGACGTTTGAGTTAAGCTACCGAACTCCTCAGTAACGTAGTGGCAAAACTTGTTCATTGTATGAATGTGTTGTGAAACTCGATGGAGTTCTACTGTGTTGGGCATCAGAGCCTTCAGAAGGAAGATTAGAACTGAGTAATGCTGTGCTGTTAGTACTCCAGGAATACGGAGAATATGAAATATGAAAATACAATTTGAAGATGGTGGATCACAATCTGCAACACCACGTATCATGAGACGCATGTTGATCATTATGTCACATAGAGCACTGTAAGCTATGGCTGGCTGCATGAGCACCCTTGTCATTCTTCAGTTTTGAATTTTGGTTTTGTAGTCTTGAATAATTCTTCTTAAGTATTTCAGAGTATTGTTTTAGGAACTTGATAAAGTACAAACTGCGTTATTTGTCTTTGTAACTCTTGTGAAGAGAACAGCTCCCAAAGCATTGGGATGCTACTTCAGGGTGAAGAGGGAAACTGGAAAGTTGAGCAAGGCACACAACAAGGAATGCAGCTCTGTTGACTTTAAGTCTGGCTGTATGGCCATCGTGGCTGGGGATTTGGGCTGGCTGGAAGCTGTCCCTTCATTCGCTGAGTCAGTGGTTAGCCAAGCTTTATCTAATCTGATGCACTGGGGCTCGTGTGCTCAGCAGCTCTCAGCCAAGGAGAAAGGGTGAGACCTCTCCTTTTGGGGGCAGCATGCACAGGCATAAAGCAGCTGTTGGTTCGGAGCCTGAAATAACAGCAGAGAAGCAATGGAATGTAGCTGAGAGCGTTTGTGGAAGATCAACCCTCATTTTAGCACCTTTGCTCCTGCCAGTCTATGACCTGTCTATGGAAGTGTGATATGGCACGTTGGTTAAATTCTTGGATTCTGAAAGTTGTTTTTTTCTTATGTAACTTCAGGTAAACTATCATGATTCTGAGGATAAGACAGTGGATGGAATCATCAATGAAAACTTATCAAGTTGTTCCAGGGAAGTGGATTCTTTGCAGCGGAAGGTTTGTTATGGAACTTCAGAGTATTTTCCAGTCTCTAGTTTGTGCCTGATGCAGAGCTGATGGATGACATAGGTAGCATAGAGAATTGTTGGTTCACTGTGGGAAACCATGCACTACTTAAAGGGAACCTCTTTGTGTGACTTGCAAGGAAAGAAAGTGGTTTGATTTCAGTTCCAAATTACTGCTCTGTCTGTTAAGGGCTGTTTCCTGAAATGTTCTGTAGTGGTACAGAAGCTGGTAGGAGTTATGTGCGGCACTGACAGTTTAAATGTTGTGATGGTGTTACTTCATGCTGCCACCACAGCTTAGGGAATCTGACTTTGCATTTGAGTGTTCAGTTCTGGTACGTTTGAAGGGCTGGGCTGTAGGTGAGAGCTCCTGTGGCTGCCTGCAGTGTGCAGTGGCAGCAGCTCCCAGAAGCCCTGTAGGCAGCCCACTCTGCTGCTTCCTCTGAGGTCAGAAGGATACGGTGATGCTTGTGTAGTCCTCAGTTGTTTGGAGACCCCATGTGAAATGGGATCTTGGTATTGTTCTACTTGATATGCTTTACATGGTACAAACTCAAAATTTAAGGATATTCGGATCCATAGTGTTTCTAGTCCTACTGACGTGGACATTCAAACTGTTTCACTACCAGATCTGAAATCCCCAGTACTGGCCAATGCCATGGAAAGCAGCGGCAGCATGAAAAGCTCTTTAGCAACTGATTTGTATCTGATGTGTGATCCCACTGACTGTGGGATTATTGCTAAACTAAAGAAACGTGACACTGTTAATTGTGAGTTTCTTGTGTTGGTGGTATTTGTTTATTCTATAAACCAAACCGTGTTTGAGCAACAAATGAGTGGAAATGTCTTTATGTTGCAGATTGCAGAATGTGAGAACAGGAATGCCAAATCTCGTGAAAGCCGGAGCTTTTATATTTTCAAGCGGTACTTGAATAAGATTTTAAATGAAGCTAGGAAACTTGGCCTTGTGAGTATCTGAAAATGGATTAAAAACGAGTTTGAATTCATTCCGTCGTGCTTCAAATTAAAGTGAAGGAAACTGAACTGTGAAATTAGAAATGATGGAAGTATGTGCATGCAGTATTGCTGTCAGAGTTTGTGCTGTTTGCTCACGGCAGGCACAGTGGTCTCTTGTTCTGTAAAGCATCCAGGGGCAGCATGCGTGACTTGAGAAAACAGAATGCAGTGTCTGTTGCTGGGGTGCAGCAGTATCTAGTAATGCCCTGTCTGGTTCACCTCAGCAGCTGTTAAACTCGTGAGAGCTAGATTCTGTATTTGCTTGTGGTAGCCCTTGTAGGCTTCTCTTTAAGACCTGATCACAGTGCCCAGCTAGGAGTAGCAGCTTTGAGTTTGCATGTAAGAATTACCACATCTATTTCTTCATTTTATTGCCTTTGGAGATAGTTTTTATTTTATCCAGGGGTAGAACAGTAATTTTTTAGCAATTGGTAAAATTAATGTTTTAGAAGAACAGTATGTTTAGCAATACAACATTTCTTATTTCCCTATTTAGAAGCTTCTGCCTGTGTTACCCACTCATGAAGAAGTTCAGTGGCACCCATAGTGTGTCAGTCATGAATGCCTGTCAATGAGAAGTGGTTGTAAAATTTAAATCACGGCTCAGATGACCCAATGCATCGTTTTTAGGTTTTTGCACTAGAGTTGAAAGAAAACAAAACAGCTGCATTTTTGTTCTATATAGGCCTTCATCCTGCAATCCACCACAAAAGGTAGCCAACTTTTGTGTATAATCAGGGCTAATAATCAGGATTTTGCAATGGAATAGCATTTTTCTTACATAGATGTTAAAGGTTGCCTATTGGAAGTACAATTGTTTTGTCTTGCTTTTAATTCAGCCCGAGGGAAACATGGACCAAGTGCATTATGATGCTGAGATTATCCTCACAAAACAGACACATCTGGAGATCCTCCGGTTCCTGCAGGAGGAAGCGTGGCAGCCAGGTGCTGTGGATGATGCACTTAGCAATATTTTGATCAATTTTAAGCACCACGATTATAAAGCTTGGCACTGGAGATTTGAAGACACTTTTGGAATTGATCTGTATAACGTGTTTATGGTAAGAGAGGAAAGGCAGTAGTTTTGTATTGATTACTGTTTTCTCCTGTTTCTTTGTGAAGCAGTATTACCACCTTAACTCTGCATGAAAACCTGTCATAAGCTCTTTGGTTGTTGAAGCTGTAGGGCAGGTAGTTATTTGAAGCACAAACTTTTGTATTCCCTTGGTCTTACTTTCTTCTTGTGGCAATGCAATTTTTTTTTTTCTTCTGGAATGCATTTTTTTTTCTTTGGTCTTTTGTAACTGTGCTGTGGGACTCTTTGGGCTCTGTTGGTTTGTTGTCACGACCTACATTCATAATGCACAGGTTGTCAGTTGTCCAGATTTGTCTCTTGTTCAAATAGATGCTGTTGCTGCTGGCTTCTATAGGAGTTGGAATGTATTTCTATTGAGAGAAGCATGTATTTGTGGTCTTAGATTTTATAGGTTAGAGTTTTTGTGGGAAAATTATATGTACTGTTGTACAGCATGGAAATGTCATATCCTTTAAAATGGATGTGACATCCTCAGTGCTGAACTGAGGATGAGCTGAAGTTCTTGGAATAAATCTTTACAAAATATGCTAATATTTGTGAGCTAAAAAGACCTTGAATGTAGCTTGTCTGGTTGTGGGCAGTGCCTTGTGCTTAATGAAAAAGCAAGCTGTTACCAGTGCCACTTTCGTCCTAGCAATCCTCAGATGGAAAAAGGCTGTCAAGAGCTTCTCTGAAATTCTGCTGCTGGTACTTAGAACGTAACCATCTCCTACAACCCACAGCAGGTGGCAGCAGTCGCTCTGTGATTCATACTGTGTGCTTTGCAACTCAAGTGCTGAACTATGCCAATTTTGTAAATATAAATTCTAATAGGTAATGTTATAAATGGCACAAGGAAGAAACAGCAAAATAATCAGAACAGTGACGCTTTTTTACTTTGTACTGCACCAAGTATGCTGTGAAAGCAGTAAGTTTTTCAGCTGCTCTGTGCAAGTGTTGCCTGTAAAAACAAAAGCTGGGAATTCCTTCATATGTACACAGAGTAAGCCTGAAAAATTCCAAATCTGAATCATAGTTCTGTTTTCTTTTTCAGATACTCTTGTGCTTAGTGTGTGTTGTCATTATAATAGCTACAGAGCTGTGGACACGTATCCACTGGTTTGTTCAGCTGAAACGTGTTTTATTAATAAGTTTTCTCATCAGTTTTGCATGGAATTGGCTTTACTTATATAAGGTAAGTTGTTTTGAAAGCTTAATGGCTTTTAGGCTTAACATTTGATAGTTATGAGGAACTTAACGTAATATACAATGATTCTTAATCTGTCTTTATTATTCACTTCTGATTCTCCTGCAGCGGGCTTTTGCACAGCATCAAGCAGAAATTGCCAAAATGGGGCAGTTTGATAACATTTGTGCTGAGAAGTTGGACTGGAGAGAGAGCCTTATTGGTAAATACACTTTTTCATTGTTTTTTAGTAGCTTTTATGATCACAGAATATTCAGTGGTTGTGTCCAAAATACTCTAATTTCTTTGTGAATTGCAAGTGTGCTGAATGTTCCTGAGCAGTACACAATTAAGAGGTTTCACCATTCTTCCTCGTCACAAGACGTTTCTTTCTAACCTCTGAAGGAGAGCTGACATCAAAAATGATGTTCTCAGAGCATGTCACAGAGTTGCTTCTTTCTCATCAGAACCTGATCTGTGAATGTTCCACCAGCTGCTCTCCCCAGCACCACTCAGTGTAGGTTACTGAAGGTAGGACAGCAGAACTAAAGATAGTTTCTCATCAGCCACTCGTGTGAATGCAGCAATTGATAGGCAACTATTCAATCTACTTCTGTTATTTTACAGAGATGGCTGAATTGCTTTTAATTGTCTGGTATTTATTATTCAGTACTGCAGCAGGTGGACTAATGAAGCCTGTTGTGGTCTCACCTTTGAAGTTCAGAGGCTGTGGTTGCTCTGTTTGTGTTAATTTCAGTGGATTAAGGTATGACTTTGCTGGTGTCATAGATTACTTAAAGCTTTATGATTTTTAGGGACTAAGTTCATCTAATAAAGAGAACTTTCATGAATAAGCATAGGAAAACCAAAGTTTCTTCTCTTTCTTTCCTGCTTTCCCTCCCCTTCCTGCGTCCCTCCGACTGGATAAACTGCACAGCCAAGCTAACCTCATGTTGTTGAACGTAAATCTTGGCCTTGAACCGTATCTGGAAGGTTTATCTTCCATCTGTAGTTGAAGTGCTACTTCCTGTATTACTGTTATGTCATAAAATATGTTTTAGCAAGTAGTGAAATTGCATCCCTGCTTTGACTTCAGGATGGCTCAGAAGACAGTGGACATTTCAGGATGATCCATGTCAGAAATACTACGAAACTTTGCTAGTAAACCCTGTTCTGCTGGTTCCACCAACAAAGGTAAAAGCCAGACCCAAAGGAACTCTGTGTTTCTTTGTAACCCACCCCAACACCAGGCTTCCCTTTATACTTCTCCAGGCATTGGCTATTACTTTTACCACCTTTGTGACTGAGCCTTTGAAGCATGTGGGACAAGGTATTGGTGAATTCATCAGAGCGCTTATGAAGGAGATACCACTGATTCTGCAGGTTCCAGTGCTAATCATGATGGCTCTGCTCATTCTGGTTCGTGTGCATTTATGGTATTTAGAAGCTCAAATTTATTTTTACATAGTAAATTTATTTAAGTATCATTATTTATTTCTTGTTTGTACTGTTGAACAGATTTCGTAGCACAGGTGAAATTATTTGTACAAGGAATTTTTTCCATTAAAAATCTTTTAAAGTTCAGTTTGGGATAAAACACCATTAAACTGCTTGAAATCCTAGACTCTGTGACAGTTAACTTCAACTTTGTTCCCATTTCTTTCTTAAGAGTCATTACACAGCGATGCACAAAATTGCGTTTTGTACATGGAAGCAGTGAGCAGTGAGACCCTTCTGTGTCTTTATTGTAGCAAAAAGATAAATTTCAATGTGGCAGCTGCTGCACTGTGCAGAAAGTTTGAATTTTGTTGTAGCCATTTGATCATCAGTAGTTCTATTTCAGTATCTTTCAGTTTTGTGGCTTTGCATTCTGTGTGAAAACTGTAGGTTGCAACTGTTCAGAGTTTTGTTTTGTCTTCCTTCCCCCAGGCTTTCTGCTATGGTGCAGCATCATCACTGTCTGCAATAAGATATTTAATGCCTTCTCAGAAGAAGAGGCTTCCTCTACCTGACGGTCAGCAGGAGGAAATAGACTTCAGTCAGTATGATGGGAGTAAATCCGATGGCTGCTATTCACAGAAGACTCCTAGCATTTACAGAGGCCACTACAGCAGAGGAGATGTTCAGATGAGACCTGGAAATAGCAGCAGCAGTCTTGATGTGCTGCATGCGAGTGGAGAGCCAGATACACGAGTAGAGGAGTCTCAAAAACCAGAAGCTGGTGTACGTTAGTCTTGGTGCTCCTTGGGATTAGATTTGATAGACTTCAGTGTCATCTGCTAGAATGTGCTTAAGCAACAAGCTTCACCCAAATCTGGTGGGGAAGATGTAGCTGTTGCCCTGTAAGGAGCTATAGATTACCATGGGCATGCTTTATTCTGGAAAAATACGGAGCCATGGTTAACCATGGCAGGCACCTCCTGAATTAAAACACTTGAACGTTGGTCTGTCAGGGAAGATAGGTTGCCCACAGAAGGAAGGGAAAAGAAGAAAACTTCTCTGTGAATTGCAGAAAATTAAAAACAGATTTATACTCTAGATTGTGCTTATTCCCTGAAAAAAGTAAAAAGGGAATATTGATGATGTTTGAAGTTTGGAAATGTGAGGGAGTTCTGTCTCTGGAGTTGAGAGGCATTTGAAGCTACAGATACCATTGGTTTGGGTTGCTTGATTAATAACTTTTAATTTTTACAGAATAGATTTCACCCTGAGGCTGAAATTCGTAGATTAGAACCTTCTCCAGCTGCAACCCATACCGGAGAAAAGGCACTTGAGCATCAGAAGCAGTGGACAGATAAAGCAGAGGAAGAGACTGCAAAAAGTAGTGATCCTAACAGAAACGAGGAAGAACAAAGTTGTGCAGTGGGACCTGAAGAGAGGAAGAGCAGCACGTGCGAGTCACAGGAAGGAGACTGAGGAGTCCCCACACCCTGTGGTAAGTTTTGCCTAACATGTAATTGTCACGTACTTGCTAGCTCCAAAGCTACAAGACAATGTAAAATCTTCAGTAATTATAAAATATTTGGAATTATATGGAGCCTATCTCCATAACTATTCTTTAATTGCTCTTTCACTCTGAAGCTAAAATTAAAATGGGATTCTTCTCTGGGGATATAATACTTAAAAATTTGAAAGGAAACTTGATTTGTGAATAGCCTAAGTGATCGGTCTGCCACCATCAGCATTAAAATCAGCAGTGTGTAACACTTGGTACCTTACGAAACATACACATCTAAGGGTTCTCAAGAAATGCATCAATACAGGTGTCTGTTGAGGCTGAACATTGACCATTAGAGCTGTTTCTCCCAAGAAACACCCTAGCATAGCGCCTCGTGTTTTCATGAGAAGTAGTGTTTGAGGTCCTGCAGTAAGCAGCAGCCATATTTTTGTTATTTGGAATGTTTAAAGCTCATGTACTGCAGGAATTAGCTGCTGTTCATGGGAGTCTGTGTGAAGTGCTCACCATCCCTGCGAGACCTTTGGTGCAGAGAACACTTGTGGTGGTGCAAATGTACCTCAGCTTTTAGAATTACACTGACTGCTTAAAATACACTACTTAAAATACAAGTGTAACTTTAGAAACTAGTTCTGATTGTTCCCTGCATTACTTAGTGCAGTTCTGTACTTAAGGAAGTATTAACAAAATAAACCTTGTATGTTTTTAAGGGTATTTTCATTGTGAAGAGGAGTAAACCAGATCAGATTTTGATTTAGTTAATTCTGGTTTTGTTTTGTTTTTTTTTAATTAACAAGATGCAGAAACACAGGTTGGAAGAAGCAAAGTCAGACTCAGTACTGAAGTAATTTCTCGATTACTTTTATTAAAAAAAGTATAAAAGAATAATGGGACCTTTTTTCAGGGAGGTACAAATCAGAAAAAAAAAATCAAGTCTTTATCCTTATAAAGAGCATACAAACCTAGGTCTCAAACCAGGTGTGGTAGAGATCGCACACCTGCAACAACATTACATTGAGGGAGAAGAAAACTGCTGTGAATGTTCATCAACTAGAAGCAATTAAGAGGAAGATGCAGTAATCTGTATCTCAGACACAGCTAGAAGTAGCTGCCCGCTACAAAGACACAACTCCAACTAGCAATCACAAGGGTGCTGCTGCTACTGTACAAAAAGTGATTATAAAGGAGACAAAACTACTAACTGCAGTCCTTTGTAAAAAGACACGTACATTTTTCCAGCAAACAAAATGAAACATAAGATGCTACTGTACAGCAGGAGCCTGTGCATCTCCTCAGCTAGAACTCGGTCCTTTTATAGCAGAGGGTAAGTGGACTCTCTGTTCATCCATTCTCTTAGCTTGGGATCGTACAATGAGGCTGAAAAAGTCCTCATCTGGTACAGTTGGTCCTTTTGCAGATGATGGAGGAGCACATCTTTGATCATCCAGTCTGGAACCCTACAGACAGACCAAGCAGTGAGGCTGCACATTTAGTGTGTAATATTGAAATAAGCAAGCAATGTAACTGGAAAAAAAAAGACTAAAAGTTTTCTTTTCACATTTAAAACTGTAAGCTTTGTTTCAGGCTTATGCCTTAACAGTTCTCAAATGAAATTACTATGTTAAAAGTTCAAGCGTAGTTTTTCTAACCTTTACTTAGCTGTTACAAAGACCTCCTGTAATAGAAGAGCTGTCATCCTTCCTTTCACTGCAAAGGGTGTGAAAAATAGCTACTGGGTTGTCAGATTTGGAAAAGTATCTAGAGACTCAACAGACCGATACATTTTAATCGTAGGGTTGCAGAGCAGTTTGCATATAGTGTCTGAGCTGTTTCTATGTTATTTCACACCTACTTCAGGAGGCTCAGGGCCTGTCACACCTTGCCTTGGACTGTCACCTTTGTGTCCTTTTGTGTTACAGATGGATATACACAGTACACAGTATTTATTATATTAATGTCTACATTATTTGCTTGACTCGGAAAATCAGCCAAGGTTCTAAAACAGATGATGATATTTCATCAGGTTGATGAATGCTGTAATTCTAGACTCAGTGCCAGGTGTTGCTTTCCATGAAAGCTAATACAACTTACCTTTGAAGTTCTCAGTAGTGGAATTTTTTATTTGGAGATCCAAGTCTTTTTCATTAAACTACTTGGTCTAGTTGGTATATATACCGTGCTGTACTTAGCAGAAAAATCACTTGCATATACCATGAAGTACTGTTACCACAATTTTAATGATTATCACTAATTGCCAACGAAACTTCAATACTGAATTTTCATTTGCTGAGTTAAGAATTCCTGGTATGTCAGGTGTCCAGCAAACAAAGCCAGCTCCAAACACACTGACAGACTCAGTTGTTCTCCCTCAGTTTCAGCATACCTCAAGCATATCAACATGATAACTTGTAGCCACTAGATAATTTAATATATATTTAAGATGTATTATATTAAATATTCTTTAATATGTGCAAACATATTATAATTTTATATGTGCTCTATTTATAACAACTATATTCATATAACATTTTATAATTCATATATAATAATTATATAATTTATTATATAATATATCATTATTATATAACAATAATGCTATATCTCATATGCCATTTTATAATTATTAGTATAAGCAATATTATATTCTGTATTATATATTTCATTATATAATATTACTATTATATTATTTTGAAATTACAATATACTACGTATATATATATATAAATTAATTATGCATTTAAGTCAATAATATAACTACATCACATAAATATGAAATATTATTACACATATAATAATGCATTCAATATATTTAATAGCATTACATTAAATATACTGTTTGTAAATATTATGTAATATAGAATTTAATATACATTTAATATATATTAACATAACTATATAATGTACATTAAATTGATTATCCAGTGGCTGTAAGTATATAAACACACCCATAAGACTGCATGTGAGGGTATGTGTATATAAAAATGTGTGTAACGAGGTTGCATATAAGAATATGAGTGTATACATTAAAATATGTGTAAATGTATGTTCATAGATATGACATACACATAGTATTTTATTTTCATACATACATGTTTGGTTTTTTAACTTCAGTTCTTTATCTACCAAATACTTATCTTAAAACCTTTGTGCTAAGCATGGAAGCCTTCTCAAAGACGTTAAATAGCAGGATGCACAAATCAAACCCCAGCAATCTCACAGCCTTACCTGGCATTTGATTAATATATCAAAGAAGTCCTCATCTAGCTCTCTGTTGTTACTGGCCATTAAGTGGCCCAGCACAGACGGACTGGTGCGGTGATTAAGACGAAGGCCAGGCAGATTGCTGAAGCTGGCGCGCTGGTCATCGAGGCGGCGGCTCTGTGAGCTCGCAAGTAAATCCAGAAAGTCATCAGTGTGGGGTGAGACTACGGAAGCAGAAAAGGCTAAGGGAAGAAGAAGGAAGACAAATGAGCACAGAAGCTCCTCTCCGTTCAAATACTTTTTCAAAACAGCATTTGACAGGAACTGAAGTCAGCTACAGATCTGAGTTTCAAAATTACATTTTCGTATTGTTTTAGGTGGAGTAGAGGACGTTGCTACTGAAGCAGCTGAGAATCTGTTCTTCTCCTGGAAGTGGCATCTCTGATCATCCATCCTGTTACTCTGGAATCGGCTCAGCAGATCAAAGAACCCTTCATCTGCCACTGTTTCTCGACTGTTTCTCTGAAGAGGAAAGAAAAGTTAGAGGTACTTGGAACTCAGAAGTACCTAAAAACTAGGGCGACTGCAGGGCAGTTTGATTCCAGTAATATATTTGCATATCTGAAATTCATTAAACTAATTTTTTTTAGTCATCCATTCTTGTAGACAGAGATTTATCCAAAGAAGCAACATTTATAATATGACAAACAGTTCTGGAAGGTAAAATCTAGTAAAGAGATTTTGTTCTCAGAAAGAAATAGTACACTGATTAGTATAAGCCCACCAAAAACCCCAGAGCCCATAGGCCATGAAATTTCCATTTGCTCCTTAGCTCTGTGTTGAAAAGCACTCTTCTCCCTGCGAGATCAAATGACTCTGTTGTTTTCTTTTTAATCAACTTCCATGAATAGTGCAGTAATCTAAAACATACATTTAATTATACCTTCCAGTGTCTGAATCCAAAAAACTACGTTTTTCAGATTAGAAGAAGCAGGGTAGAAAGGCTAGAAATAAAATATATGCAAGTTATTTTAGACAGTCCATTAGGAAAATGTAGTAGTCCCAATGGTAGGAGAGACTTACAGCTGTCACCACCCAGGAGACAGAAGGAGAACGGCTGACTCTACATCAACTTACAGCGTTTAACTCAAATATATAAGTAGAACTAAAAATGTTATCTGCACAAACAAGTTTTCCTTAGTTTTGGTCAAATCAAGATTATATGAAATCAAGGTTATGATCTGAGAGGACTCCAAACCTACCCTCTGAGAGTTGGGAAGGCGGTGGTCAATAGAATTACTGGCATCCTGCAGAACTTTGGAAGTGGTGCCATTTTTATACTTTTTGCCTTTGAGTCGATTTACAAAATGCAATTTTGCTGAAGGTTTGGCAATGAGTGGTTTCTGTTTAGCAAGAATCTCACTGTTCCAGTTCTGAACCTAAAAAAAGAAACCAAAACATTTTCATCATATATTGTTTTATTTCTTATTTGTGTATTTATTCTTTTCATCCCTAAAATGAAGCAGCTTTATGCTTTTCATTTTATCCAGCCACTCAGACATAAACCTCAGTTTTGCTTCTGTTACTTGACCTGTGATTATTGAGATTTTGTTACCTGAATCAGGCCACTACTGCTACTGATCAGTCTTATAACTGAACCATCATGCAATGACTGATTTGACTAAAATGTGCTCATGGCCTGTGTAATCAAACATGCTGATGTTTTCATTGCTGAGGGCCACAGAGAAACTGTAGAAAGAATGGAGAAAATGCCAGCATGAGAGCAAACAGGATTAACTATCATTCACTGAAAACAGTAGGGAAAACAGTCTGACAGAGTTCCCCTAAATACTCTTCTAAAATAAGTGCCCCAAAAATCTGATAACTTCCTCTACAATAGCAAACTGTTCTAATTGGAAAAAAATAAAAGTTCTTGACCCTGCATCAGAGCCTGTAGCCACAATCCAGTCTTTCAGCAAAACAGAATTCATTCTAAAGCCTGAGGGATCAACCCACGTTCCAGCTCCAAGATGACAGTATCCTGTACAGTCAAATAATGCTACTGTTCATCATGTTGTTCTACACTCCCTTACTTAGGGAGTAAACTTCAGAACCTACTACATGAATGTCTTGAAAAGAGCCCTTTATAAGAACTAAGCCACAAAACTAGGTTAATACTTGATTATAAAAATCCACATGAAGCATTTGAGTATATTTAGGGCAGACAATCACAGGCTACGTCTTTTGAAAGATACCACAGACAAACGCATTCAGAGAATAAGAAAATGGGGCTGATACTGCCAAAAGCTTAATGGTTCCCTGCAGGGAAATCCATTTGCAATAAAACCCAGGATCTTTAGAAATTAGTATCCAGAGCAGTGCTGAAAGCAACAGTGCTGCTGCATCTGCACCAGCTGTCACCGTGTAAGCTTAGAGATTTCATTTTGTATTTCTAATCATGGCAGAATGCTTTGGATCACTTGAAAACATGGGCAGCAGATACCCCAATATGCAGGAAAAAAATAGCATCAGCTTGCCTTTAGAATCATTTGTATAGAATTCCAAAGAGACTTCTCCTTGAAGACTGAGCTAAAGCTTTGGAGTTCTGTTCTGAATCACTTTCTGCATTCTGTTCTGAATCATTTCTAACATTAAACTCCTACAAAAACCTTTAGATTTCATTGCAATCTCACCAGCAGAATTTTTTTTTTAAAAAAAAAGCACGAACCTTTTCTGGTGTTAATTTCATAAGTTCCATGTTCTCCATACTGTGACGACGTCCCACCCTTGGCCGGGTACCTTCAAGAAGGAAAAAAGTTCAGCTTTTTTTGCCATTAAGGGTTATGGTGTCACCTTCAAAGCTGTGCCTGTGTTCATCAAATGCCCAAGATAAGCAATTCTGAGTTCCAAACTCACGAGAGAATAAATAATCAGTAGTAAAAGCAGCTTTGAAAACCACACAACTGTAAGGTATGCAACTTGCTTTCATCGGACAGAATGGAGCATGGATCTTCACACAGAAAAACATCACATGAAGCAGCTTTAACTATAACCCCTTCTGTTCTTACACTAGGGCAAAGGAAAAAGGAAGGATGTAATTTGGGCAGCAAACAACTACATTTGCCTCATCAAAAAAAGACTGATTAGAAACTTCAGATGATGTGTTATCTGAAGAAACGAGGCAGTAACCTGGGATTCACAACGGAAATCCTCCAAAAAAGCAGGAGCTGAAGGGATCCAGCACTGCACCATTTATTTATGGGGAAAAAATAACAATGCAGCATCTATAGTCAGAAAACAATGCAAATATCAGGGTTTTTTTTTGAAGTTTGATCTTAGAAAGTATTTGGAGAAAAGCACGTACCATTCAGAGTGTTATCTACCGCATGGCTTTCTGACATCATGGAGGTGTTTGTGCTATAGCTTAATCCAAGAACCATTTGAAGATCTGAGAGATTAAGTCTAGCAGTGAGTTCCCCACTTCTATCTCCTACCTGTAACCAAATAAAGTAAGCAGTTCTGTTACTGTAACAAATACATATACATATGTAAATACAAAGGAAACTTTGTTCCCAGACTTCTAAGAAAAGGGTTTAAATGTTTTTCTTGTTGAAAACTGTTAGAAAACCATCTTCTTATTGAAGTACATCAAGGGCACAAACCAAAACCTAACACAACCTCTGCTATGCTCTCAGTGAGAGCAAAAACCTGGCAGCCAACAGACATAAGTGACAATCATACCTCTCTGGAGATCTCCAGGTGCCTCTCAGCAAAGTGCATAGCTTGGTCATGATTGCCCAGAGCAGTGTATGCATTCCCTAAACTCCAGCATGCTCTTCCTTCACCAATTCTGCAAAAAAATAGAACACCTTCAGGGATACATTTCACTCTCTGAACGCTAGGTGTCATGTTTTCATAATATTACCAGAATTATACGACTGTGCCAAGGAAAATTCAGACTGTCTCCAAAAACTATTCCAACACCATCGCGTTAAGTACCTTCTCAAAGAACTGTGATCTGGTATAAGCGTAAACGTGAGCAAGTCTCATCAAAACTTAAATTTTAAAATTTACAGCAACCATTTAAGTCACTCCTTATAGTTTTGCAAACATGGAACACTGCACATCCCCCTTTCTGTCCCTCAGATTGTGTGGCTTATTATTCACATATTCTGCTTATTTTGTGCATTTAAAAGCTGTAAAAACAACAACAACAATAAACACCACTGCCACCACAAAAACAAACGTCTCCCCCCTCCCAAAAAAAAGCTTTACAAATAATTTTAGAAGAGGCATAATTTACTACTGGATTATCCTCCCTTCATCATCCCTTCTTATTTTCTTCATTTGTGGAGAAGAAGAAGAAAAAGTCTTGTGAAGATATCCAAGCTACTACAATCACATCATGGAAAATATGTTTTTCCCTTCATTTTTGAAGGCAATACAAAGAACACAAGATCTAGAGACAGTCATTCATCAGTTATCCTCCAAGTGGATTCATTATCTGCAATACTTGCAAGGGCTTTTTTTCCACCATTTCAAAACAAGCTCAGTACTGCAAGGAATCACATTCAAACGTCATACACAGAACAACGTCAGCTAAGTGTGAAGTAATAGGAATTGCTTTAAGCATCATACTCATTAAACAATCTCTTAGGGCTTACTTGTCATTTAATTCCTGAGCAATCACAAGGTGTTTCAAATGATAATCAATTGCTTTCTCATAGTCTTGAAGCAGAGTGTATGTGTTTCCAAGGCTGTAGCAGGCCTGTGCTTCCACAGCTCTATCCTTAAGCTGCCTAGCCAGCTGTAATGTCCTCCTGAAAGAAAGGGTTAGTCACCTCACAAATCACTACTTACACAAGTAAAAATCTCTTACATAAACTAAATAGATTAGGACACCAGACTGACAAATTAGCAGCTAATAAATTATCTTGCAAAATCTTATGAGATTTTAGGCATCTTCCTCTCCCATTCATTGCAGTCCATTTCTGTTCACTTCACTGCAGAGCACTCACAGCCCTCAGACTGCATGCTTAATGTTAATGTATTGCTTCATCAATAATTTACAGGTGATTTGCTGGTATTATGTACTTGAAACAGTTCATTATCAGCATTAGAATAATTACTGTGTGTTCTCCATCAAATTGAGCAAGACAGACCTATAATCACCAAGCCTTCCCATCTCTACAAGTGGAATAGAATCTACTCAATACTGAGGCACTACATTTTCCAATTTTCAAGCCCTGAAGTCCAAGTAAGACGCTAACACCTACACTGCATCTTTGCACAGCTTATATTTTTGAGTTACAGCAGCAACATGGCTGTTTACATGTCTAGAGATAAAGAAGAAAAATCTTAATTACAAATTAAGTATACAAAACCATGTTGATACGCACCGCTGACTGCAGATGGTGAATATACCTGAGATAACTACTAAGCTCAAGTGTACTAAAAAGTCACTTTGATCAAGCACTCCAGAACTCACTGACACCTAAGACAATAATGCCTGGTTCTAGAATTAAGTGAATAAGTGCGTATCAAAAGAAAGGCATCCACAGTGCTGAGAAGTATCTATTTAAAAGTAACTAAAAAGATCAAGATTAACGTTGTCTTAGAAAACCTGAGTAAACAGGGAAAAACAGAGTATTTTTTTTTACTAAACAAACGCAGCCTTTTTCTAAGTGTATTCTGAAGAGATGGCTGTTCTGCAGTGAGCTCAAGTACCAGCACAAGAGCAATTAACTCTATGAGAAGAGGTATAAATGTAAGCAGTCGACTAACTTGTAGTATTCAGAAGCGGTTTCAAATTCACCCAGGAATATGTAGGCATTTCCAAGATTGCTGTATGCTCTTCTTTCAGCTGATCTATCACCAAATTCTTTTGCAATTAGGAGACGCTTAAAAATGTGAAATAAGCATATTAATCACATTTTGTACTGCATAACATACATTTGCACACAAAATTGAACGCCCACAGATTTTCCAACCCTATCTGTTCTTTAGGCCAATGGTGCCTGAAAAGAACAGCCAGACTTGACGCTAGGCCTTAAGATCTAAAGCTTGCATTAAAAAGCTCATGGGAGTATACAACAAAACACATGGATACGAGGTCTGGAGCAACTGGTGATATTTCATGTTGCTGTACCTGCTCATGGGCTAAAACTGCACTCCTGAAGTTGCCCAGAAGATAGTGTGTGTTTCCCAGATTTCCAAAGGCACGTCCTTGTGCTGCTCTATCACCCAGCTCTGTGACTATTGTCAGGTTTTCCCTGTTTTGAACAAGTGAGAAAAGAAAAACTACTGATTTGAAGTCATTTTTTCCTCACAGTCATTTAAAACAGATCGTCTTCCTATTTACATAAAAGGAAAAGCAGGATATTCTGCTTTGGCCTACTTTAATGGCCTTTATGCAACCACAGTTCTTCCAATGAGTAATGAATACGTTCAGTGAGATACTGAACTGTGCTCTTGTTCATGCTGACCTGCTAGTTTCAAAGAAAAAAGCTATATTATATGCAAGTACACAACATTCAGTTGTCTCAGTCTTGTTCTAAGAGTAATGCTGAATCCTAACATAGGGGAAGGACTTACCTGGTAATAAAAAGTACACTAAAATGAGAGCTAAACAAAAAACTGTGTACTCTCCAGTTGAAAAGGAAGAAATTCACAGGTCTTATTAGCTCATGACTCCACAAATCTCAATATTTTAACAAACCAGATGAATGTATCTTCTTCATCACCGATATTTAGAGCTACTACTTACTCATAGTAATTTGCAGCTTTTTGCAAAGCATTTTTCACATCCTCTGGAAGCTCCCCTGGATCATGTGTTCCAGCACAAGCCACATTTTTCCCTTTAGAGTGATAAACATTTCCCAGATTATACAGTGCTCTTGCTTCTCCAACCTGTAACAACAATAAAGCGAGGCATTACAACTTCCTGCTTCCAACTCCTGTGCCACAACAACCTTCAGTGCAATCCACAGAAAGGAGTTTGTTCACTGCTTGCCAAGGCACATTCTGTCCATTCTGAGTATGCTCTCATTGCCTACCCACGTCATGCCACTTGCACTCCTCAATCATACTGTATCACATATTATTTCCTTTTGAGATACATAAGATACATAACAATTATTGAGGCCAATTATTAAAAGAATTTTTTTTTAGTCTCCAAGGTGAATTCAGCCATCTTAAACCTGACAGATTCTTATTTCTATTAGAAATACTGGAATATTCAATATTTAATTTCCTCTGAAAGATGGCATTACCAAACAGAGTTCACTACTGTGTATTCTTTGGAGTCTGTTTCCGGATTTCTAAGCATCACTCACCTTATCATTAAGCTCTCTGGAAATATCCAGATGTCTCTGACAACAAACAATAGCTTCTTCAAAGTTTCCGAGTACCTTCAAGGTGTTGCCCAGATTTCCACTAGCTTTAGCTTCTCCCACCAAATCTCCAATTGTCCTAAAATTGCGGAAGTAAAGTAATTCAAAACCAAGCCAACAATCAGAAGAATATATGGAAAGAAAATGTAAGCATATATATATATATATATATATATATATATATATTTCATTCAATTATATCTAAAAGGCATTCAAATAAATATGGTTCCGTCTATCGTTACAGAAACAATTTTGTTTCTTAATGATTACACAAAAAAGCAGGCCAGGAT